TCAGCTCCGCCTCCCGGGTTCACGCCATTCTCCTGCTCTCAGCCTCCCGAGTAGCTGGGACTACAGGCGCCCGCCACGAGCCGGCTAATTTTTTTTTTATTTTTTAGCAGAGACGGGATTTCATCGTGTTAGTTAGGTATGGTCTTGATCTCCTGACTTCGTGATCTTTCCTGCCTCGGTCTCCCAAAGTGCTGGGATTACAAGGCGTGAGCCACTGCGGCCCGACCCGAGTGGTGTTTTTTAATAAAAAATTTTCTGAGCTGGGCTGGTGGCTCACGCCTGTAATCCCAGTACTTTGGGAGGCCAAGCTGGGTGGATCACTTGAGGTCAGGAGTTTTGAGACCAGCCTGGCCAACATGGCAAAACCCTGTCTCTACTAAGAATACAAAAATTATAGCTGGGCATGGTGGCTGGTCACCTGTAATCCCAGCTACGTGGGAGGCAGAGACAGGAGAATCACTTGAACCTGGAAGGTGGAGGTTGCAGTGAGGTTGGAGGTTTAAGCAGGGGTGCTTAAATCACCCAGATTAAACAACTATCAAAATGTTGACAAATGTGCAACCAGTATTATTACTATTTTTATTATTATTTTGCTGAACTAGGTACATTACAGCAAGTAGGCTATTTTCCTTCAAATTCTTCTAGACTTGTCTGTAAAAGACAACAGTGTCCTACATAGACGCAAGGCAGGGCAGAGTTTTATGCAGCGCCTCCTGTCCTCCTCACCCTCCACCCTCCCTCGGCAGGCCCTGGATCAGGGCTGGGGGTGCTTCGTTGGTCTCCGGAACAGCCAGGCCTCTGGGGCGGGGCCTGGAGCCCGGAGTCAGGGACTGGAGAACTGGGGGACCCGGAGGGGTGCCTGGGGATCCTGACACTGACTGGGGCGGCCACTTGGGACGACCCTGAAGGCCACCTCCCACGGCGGTGTCCGCTGGAGCCTGGGGCGCGCGCTGCGTGGTGTCCGTGTCCCGCCCTCCCGGCGCCCCCAGTCTGGGGGTCTGGGTCCGTGCAGAGGTAGAAAAGTCCCAGAGCTGGGACTGGGGCCCGCCCTGAGGAACCTCCCTGATGTCGAGCCGAGGCTCGGTCCCTCCTCGGCCAACGCCTGCCCAGACAGGCAACAGGGGGTGACCCGGCCCCTTTCCCAGGGCGCCCATGTACCCGGCCGCCCCCGCCACCCCTCCCTCCCTCCAAGAAACGCACAGCGCCACAGGCACTCAGGGCGTTTATTGCGCTTGGGGCCAGGGTGTGGAGAGAGGGGCTCTTTGGGGAGGGCTGGGCGCACGGAGCAGCTGACCCCTGCAGGCACTCAGGGGCTGGACCCGCGGTTCCTCAGGCTGCTGCAGCTTGGATCCGCCCGGATGCCCCATCACCCCCGCTCTAGCCCCCAGCTGTCCCGAAGGTAGAGGGCCCCACGGTGCAGCCCACGGCCCTAGGAGGGCCCATGGTCCGCGGCTCCACGTGGCCGTGGTCTACCCATCCAGGAGAGCGGGCCCGCACACTGGTCTGCAGAGAGAGTAGGCCCGAGGCGCCCCCCTCGTGCCTCCTTCCTTGGGACCAAGGCCCCTGACCTGCCCCAACGCGATCTCCTCCTGGGAACACTGCCCTGGGCAACGTCTCACCCTCCCCGGAGCCGGACAGGCTGGGTCTGCCCCCCGGCACTTCCGTCCCGAATCTGAGATCAGTGGAGTGACTAGGGCCTGGCTCTCCCAGCAGGCCTGCGGGCACCGCTCACCCAACTGGGCAGCAGGACGTCCTGGCTGGGGCTCAAGCCCACTTGGGGCGCCAGTAGCTGCATCTTCTGGGCGCCTTCGGGAAACAGCTCCGGGGCTCGAGCTGAAGGTGGGGAGGGCAGGTGAGCTAAAGGGAAGGGGTTGGAGGGCCGAAGAGAGGGTGAGAGGGGCAGGGAGGGGTGAAAGGGGTGGGGAGGGGCCGGGACCGCGGCCACAGACACCAGGAGCCAGCGGTTCCGCCTTCCCGGTGCAGAAGGCACTGGTGCAGGCACAGGGGGACATTCCAGACCCAAAGCTGGGGGTGTCTGGGCCTCCCCCCCCGCAGCCTGCCCACTGTAGAGCTGCAGTCACTGGTTCTGCAGGCCCCCTTTCCGCGTCTCCAAGTACAGCAAGGCAAAGTGCTGGTAGTCGGAGAAGGCCACTCGGATGTCAGTCAGGGCCACGGCTGGAGAAGCGAGAGCCGGTGACCCCAGGCCCAGGGCACGTCCCCCCAGCGTGGCACCCTTCATGCCCTGGCCCCAGGTGCCAACCCAGCAGCCCGCACAGCCCCCAGGACCCCCACCCCACAGCCCTGCCTGCCACCCCACCTTACCTAGGTTGCTGAACTGCCCCCTACAGCACCCTTGGTGAAAGTCATGTCCATTTTCTGGCACCTGCCATCGGACCTGGGGAGGAGGAGCCCCAGTCCCCTGAGTGGCCACCCCTGCCCAGCGCCCAGGCCCAGAGCCTACCTTGCTGTCTCTGAGTCCAGGGTCCCTTGTTCACCCTCACAATCCTTAGAGAACATGGGACTTCAGGATGACTTTAGAGGTGGGGACACTCCTGCTGGGGGTGGGGGATTAAGTACCTGCTCATGGGCACACAGTCTGGAATGCAGGGTCTCCAGGTCCCCCTTCCAGACACACACACACAGAAGATGCACACATACACACATGCACACACACAGAGATACACAGACACACACACACAGAAGACGCACACATACACACATGCACACACAGATACACAGACACACACACACAGAAGACGCACACATACACACATTCACACACACAGAGATACACAGACACACACACACAGAAGACGCACACATACACACATGCACACACACAGAGATACACAGACACACACACAGAAGATGCACACATACACACATGCACACACACAGACACAGACACAGATACACTGACAGACACACACATATATACACACACACATAAAAGACACACGCAGAGATAGACACACTCAGAAACAGATACGCAGACACACAGACGCATACAGCGATACACACACAGAGACACACACACAGAGGTACACAGCTACACAGAAGACACACACACAGACACACACATACATGCAGAAATAGACACACACACAGACACAGCCACATACAGTAATACACACACACACAGACATGCAGACACTTTTCCCAACACTGGGCCTCAGGCGGTGCTTCCTCCAGGACCTGGGTCCCTCTGGACACCATGTGGCTGCCATGTGGAGCTCTGCAGCACGGAGCCCTTGAGGACCCATGGTCTGACCTCGATGTGCTGGGGACACCGTGATCCCTCTGGACCTTCATCTGGCCTCATCTGAGGCTGAGTCTGATGGGCTTGTGGGGTCACTTACATGGGATATCCAAACTTGAGGGCCAGGTCACTGTTCTCCAAGGGGGTCACTAAGACCACAGGCATCTTCATGGTGTCCTTGGAGTCCAGGAAGTCCTGGTCATCTGACACCACCCCGACCATGTACCAGGTGCCCTGGAACTTCAGGGCAAGTGCAGGGAAGGCTGGGAGGCCGCCCCTGTGCCCTGGGCCTGAGCCCACCACGTTCTGTCCTGACACAGCTGCTTCCTGGCCAGGACAGGGGCTGCTGTACACACCTCCACCCTGATGCAGAACTGAGGAAGGGGGGCCTCAGCAGATGAGCAACTGGCCTCCACCAGCCCAGCACCAGCCTGTCTGCAGCTGGCACCCAGGGGGTACGGCTGGATGGGTGGGGCTGTGGCAAGGTCATAGGTCTACGTGGGGTGGGTGGGGGACAGTGAGGGGCAGGCAGCTGTAACTTGTCCCAATTTTGGGCCCTGGGGAGTGATGGGGGATGCAACCGAAAAGCTAGGATGGAGGCCTGCAGTCTTCCCCAGCCAACGCCTACGCCAGTCAGATGGAACAGGTGTGGTGGGTGGTTTCCCATGCCCCCAGCCCTGCTGAGCCTGGATCAAAGAGAGTGTGGACAGGGACCTGGGGTGCAGTGCCAAAGCTGGGAGGACTCATTGGAGAGGAGGAGGAAACAGGGCTGGGCGCACCTGGCTAGCATCAAAGTTGGCCTGGATGGGGACCTGGGCCTGGCCTGGGGACACCCAGAGCAGGGCAAGGAGGGAATTGATCAGCAGAGCCCAAAGCATCGTGCAGCAAGGTGGCATGGCATCTCCTTGGGACACAAGAGCAGGACAGAGCTGAGGTGGCTCCTCTGTAGGCTTTATGCCCCCAAGGTGCCCAGGGGCGGCTGGCCTGGGACTGCACCCACTGTGACAGGCTTCTGATAGAGTTGCACGCTGCAGCGCTCTGGCCTGGCTCCCTCCACCCAACCCCAGCCATGCCTTGCCTTTCCTCCGGGGTGGGGCCGGATGCCTGGCAGCTGAGGGTAGTTCTGATGGGCCTCTGGGCTAGGGGGCCTGCAGCTCACCCCATCCTGCCTCTCTGGCCTTCTGCAGCCCCTCTGGGATGTTGGATCCCCACTACCTTGAGCTCAGGCACAGCCCTAAGCTCCCTTCTCCAGGAAGGCCACCCAGAAGCTCACCCTCACCTCTGACCCTCAGAAAGGTTGATGCCTCTGCAGGGCCTGCTCAGGGGGGCCTGGTGGGCAGGTCACAGTGAGTCTTGCACATTGTGTACCTGAGAAAGGCTGCCTGGGTGGGAATCTGGGAGGGAGCAGGGTTGGGCAGGGCACCGGTGGGGCATGGTGTGCCCGTGGTGCCAGGGCTCTGGCGAGTGGACTAGGCTGTGATCTGGTGGCCCAGGTCAAAGGGCAGGGGGTGCCCAGGAAACCAGAGGGGATGTGGGGTGTCCTGTCCCCAGCCCACTCTGTCAGTCTGTCCTGATGGAGGGTGGAGACACTCTGGCATGTTTCCAACAAATGTTCCTTTTTTGTCCCCTGAAACCCTTATCTCTGCCCAATCTCAGTGTGTTAATCCCACACCTCAAGACACCCAACAGGTCCAAAGCTCCTCTGGGGCCTTAAGCCTCAGGCCTTTCCTGCTGAGGGGGTGACAGGGTGGGGTTGGGGGTGCAGGGTACCTGCCTAAGGGATTTAGATGAGTCACTGACCCCCCCCAGCTCAGCACCGGCCTGGTGGCAGTGGCAGCTGAGGGGGTATGGCTGGATGTGTGGGGCTGTGGGGCAGGGTCACACGACTGGGCTGGGTGGGAGATAGTGAGGGACACCCCCTCCTAGCTGTTCTGACTCAAGACGCCACTGGGAGCAAACACTAGAGGGTCTGTTCCTCTGTTGACCTCAGGCTGAGGTTTTATAGAGCAGGAGGTCCAGGTGGCCAGGGCCAGGCCCGGGACTGGTGACGATGGCGCAGACAGCCAGGAGCCAACCTACAGACTTGCTTCCGGAGTTTATTCCGCAGAGCCAGGATGAAGCCCGAGGGGGCAGGGGTGCTTTGGCGGGGAGCCGGGGCAAGGGCTCGGGGAAGGAACAGAGCGGAGACATCCAGATCGCAGGGGTCACCTGGCTGGCTGCGGTCCCAGCTTCAGCTCTGGGGAGTCCTGGGGGGTGCAACCGAAAGCCGAGGATGGAGGACTGCAGTCTTCCCCAGCCCACCCCCACTCCAGTCAGATGGAGCAGATGCAGGATAGGGGGACTTTTCTCTGTCCCCAGCCCCGCTGAGCCTCGCTGAGAGACCAAGATCCACCGCTGGGGCTCGGATCCTCGCTGCCCCAGGGTCTACAGACTCCACCCCTCCTAGCCCCAGGATCCACGGACTCCACCCTTCCCAGCCCCAGGATCCACGGACTCCAGCTCCAGCCTAGGCCTCCCTCCCGGGGGTGGTGGGTGAATCCGCCCCGAGCCTGCTCCCCTGAGCTCTCCCACGGCATCCATGCAGCGTCCTCGGACTTCCCCTTCCATCCCCTGTTCCCTCCCATCCCATCTCCCCTACCCTGGTTTACCCCTATCCCAGGTGCCAGATGCCCTCGCTGCCAGATGGCCCCTGTGGTATAGCCCCTTGGCCTTTTCTGCCTGGGGCCTCACACCTGCACCCCCCAATCATGAGCCTTCAGGGGTCAGCCCTATTCCAGCCGCTGGGACAGGTTTTCCTTCTGAGCCTTACACCTGTGCACTCGTCAATGTGGGCAGCCCCTGTGTCTCCTGCCCAGCCCTGGACGACGGCAGCCATCAGGAAGGATGGGTCTGCAGCACCAGGCTGTCCTGGGGCCCTGATCCATCGCAGAGTGGGTTGGGTGGATGTGTGTTGAATGAATGAATGAATGAATGAATGAATGAATGAATGAATGGAGTGGCTCACCTATTGTTCCGTCATGCACTTATCTGCCAAGAAAAAAGCCGGGGCTGTCGTCAGAATCCCAGACTTAGGCCAATTTTCCCACTGGGCTTCCTGTCCCTCTCCTAATACAGAGCTCATCTTGACTGAGCCCCCAAACTGCACAGACCCCCCATCACCTCCCACCTCTCCCCTGGCCCCTCAAAACAAAGAAAGGGTCTTTCTTCACCCCTGCCGAGAGCAGGCTGTCCGCCCCAGAAGGCTGTGCCTGAGCGCAGTATGGTTGGTCCTCCTGTATCCCCCATAGGCACCCTCTACCCTATGCTCCCCACCAGGCTGGAGCCCCACATCCTGGGAGCTGCTGAGGCCTGGCACAGAGTGGGCGCCTGGTCTCCATGTCCCCCATGGAGGGGGCTCCTCATGAAGGGGCTGCAGGAGGGAGGTTCTGACTCAAACACTCACCCCCTCTGTCCCTGGCCCAGGCCTCGAGCAGGGCGGGGCCACCTCCTCCCCTCTGCCTCTCCCTGTCAGGAGACTGCCTGCCTGCCTCTAATCTGACCCTAATCCTCTACACATCAGATTAGGACCCCTTACCGGTTTGGGGCAGGAAGACAATGGTATCCTCTGTGAAGCCCTGGGCCTTGCAGAAGGCGGTAAATTTCTCCTTTAATTCAGCCCTGGGGGTCTGGGTTCGGCCTGGGACAGGGTGGAGACGGAGCTGGCCTCAGCGGCGGGATGGTGTGTGCCCTGCCCTGGGTCTTGGGGAGCCCCCTCTGGTCATGCCTGTGTGCAGGCAGCGGCGGGCACGTACTGTAGAGGGTGGCCATGCGGAAGTCCTCGCCGGGGCCCTTGCTGCCCTGGCTGTACAGCAGGGCGTAGTGGTCGTAGTCGGTCTCCACCACTGACACAGAGTAGGTGCTGCCCCAGTCTGGGAACCCAAGAAACGACCCTGTTGGGGACTCAGCCCCACAAGCCTCACCTCTGCTTCGGGGAAGGGGTGCACTTGTGGGCTGTGGGGACACTCAGGCCCTCAGCTAGCCCGGGATGCTCCCCCACCAGGCTGCTTTCCAGTCAGTGCCCTGCTCCCACTTGCACAGCCTGTGAACTCTGTCCCTAAACCAGAATCTGGGGCAGCCAGGCTCAGAAAACCAGGATGCCTGGTGCAGCCGCAGAACTCGCTGCCAGAACCGGAAGTGAAGAGCTTTCCCTGTGGGAGCCATTCCCCAGGTGGGAGTGAGGAAGCCCCTGGGTCCTGGGGAGGAGAACTGGGAGGAGGCATGTGGAGGGGCCTTGGGGGGCTGCTTATGTGGGGAAAGCTCCAGAGGGCAGGGGAGGGGCCTGGCAAGACACTGGTGGGCTCCAGAGAGGATCCAAAGCCCTGGAGGAACGGTCTCTCTGTCCCCAACACTTGTGTATGGGCAGTCATGCCCATGCCTGGCCTTGGCCTCTGACGCTGGTGGGGCAGCCATCACCCCCCACCCCATGGATCTGCGCGGCAGGGGGCTGGCCCAGAGTCGCCCGCATGTGTCGCCCCCAGGCTGGGCTCAGGAGCTGGTGGAGGCCCCACTCACGGGGACTCCGGTAGCTGTAGGAGCCGAGGGACCCCGCGGGCTGCAGCAGCATGGTTCGGGTCTCACACTGGTTTTTCCTGTAGGTGGGTGACCTCGGGGTCAGGGGTTAGGCCCGAGGGTGCTCCTGGACCTCTCCGTCCCAGCAGCCCACCTGCCCGCTGTCCCACCTGAGGAAGGTGGAGGTCAGGTTGAAGCCACCATCCGCGGCAGGGGCCACCACCGACTTGCACATGGACAGCGCCGCCTTCTTCTCCTGGAGCCAGCTCGAGTTGGAGGCGAGGCCGGCGCTGAACCAGCGCCCCAGGAACTGCGGCGAGCGACCCCCAACCGCGTCGGCCAGGACCCTCCGGACCCACTGGTGCCGACCCGTGGAGGCGCCTCTGCCCCTCCCGCTCTAGTCTCCAACCCCGCCCCGCCCCCACGCTCAATCACGCCCCGCCCCAGGAGCTGACCCCGCCCCTCACGCCCCCGCCCCAGGGGCTGACCTCGCCCCTCGCGCCCCTCACGACCCCGCCTCAGAGGCTGGCCTCGCCCTTCACGTCCCCGCCCCGGGAGCTGACCACGCCCCTCACGCCCCTTATACCGCCCCATGAGGTGGCCCCGCCCCTCACGCTCCGCCCCAGAAGCTGGCCACGCCCCTGGCACCGAGCACGCCGTCTGGCCACGCCCCTCCCGAGGACCGTCCCTCACCCTCACACACCGCCCACCAGCCAGCTCGGGCCCCTCCGCCCCCAGTCCCGATTCTGTGCCCCTGGCGGAGCGCCCGGCCCATACAGCGGGCGGCTGAGGACGTCGCATTCCTGACGGGGGTCGGGGCGGGTCTTCCGCTCCGCTCCGCGGACCGCTGGGAGTCTCCTCGACGCCGGGGAGGGGCGCGCGGCCGGGGAACCCGAACTCTGGCGCGTCCCCGCGCAGCTCCCGGGCGAGAGCGCGCGTCGCTGGCTGGCTGTGCGGTGCGCGTCCCCCCGACCCCCCACCGCGCACGGCGTTTTTGGCGCCATCCCCGTGCCCCTCCCGCCCGTGTCCTGGCACCCAGGTGTGGAACGTGCGCTCGTGTGTCCTCTGGGGGTCGCGTGCCCGTAGGAGTGGCCGTGTTTGGATGGCGTGGGAGCGTGTGTGGCCCGGTGTCTGTGTGGCCCGGTGTCTGCGTGGCCCATCAGGGGAGACGGGACGTGGTGCCCAGGGAGGGCCTCTCGCGGTCAGTCTCCTGGGGCAGCTACCCAGCCTCCTTCCTGCACGCCCGTTCAGTCCTTGGCCGGCACTGCCTGGCACTGCGGGACGTCGCTCGCTCCTCCCGGGGAGAAGACCCAGCCGGAAAGTGCCCTTCCCCTGCCCTTCCCCTTGGGGATGGCTCAGGGAAGCCCCTCACCTTGTCCGGCTGGAAGTCGGGCTGCACGGAGACCTGGGCCTCGGGTGCTGCCTGTACGCCGCCCAGCAGCCCGAGCAGGACCAGTCCCATCCACAGCGTGTGATGAGTAGCCATTCTCGTGCCGCAGAGCAGGTGTCCGCGGCCTGGTGCCAGTGGTGTGGGAGAGCGAGGGAGGTGTGCGGAAGGTGTGCAGGAGGAGCGGAGGGCACTGAGGAGACCCCTATTTATGGGCCAGGCTTGGCCTCCACCCAGGGCCCGAGGACAGCCCACTGAAGACTCGTGATGCTGGGGGATGGGGTGGCCGGGCACAGCTGCAGCCTCGTCCCCCACAGGGCGCTTATGCAAGAGGCCTGGGCCTGCTGCCCCGGCTGAGGCAGTGTGGGGTGAGGCAGAGGCCCCTGCCCACTGGTCCCAGAGACAGAGCTGGCAGGGACCTTGCCCACCCTCCTCCTGCTGGCAGGGCGCACCGACCCAACGGCCCTGATAGGGCAGAGGCTGTGTTTCTCAGCCATGCCCGCCTCCGAGGCCTCTGGTCTCTTCCCACTGGGGGCCAGGACCCACATCTCGCAGCCCCTACCATCATTCCCTTTCCGAGCCCTGCCACCCCAGAAGGGGACACAAAGCCCCACTTCCACCCTGAGAAGCCCAGGCCAAGGTAGAGAAACTTGATCTGCCCTGCAGGGTCCTGAGGGCCAGGTGTGCTGGGCACGGCTTCCCCCATGGCCGGCTGTTGGGGCTCTGATAGTGACCCCTGGGCACCCATTTCAGCCTGGGGCACCTTTGGGCTTGCGCACAGGCCCTATCCACTTGCCAGAGGCCCCACCTTCTCCCAGCAATCTCCCCACCCCGAGTCTGACCCCCACCGAGTCTGGTCCTCCCCACTCCGAGTCTGGTCCAGACTCGGGAGCACCCCATGGGGCTGTCCTGTTACCCCAGTGCTGCACCCAGCTCCTTGGGCCCCTCCAGCTCGTCGACCCTGGCTGGGGCCCTGTCACAGGCCGTCACAGGCAGGCACATGTGGTGGGCCCTGTCTGGATTCTGTTGGGACTGAGCTTCCCTGGCAGGCGTGGTGGGTGAGCGCTGCCGCTGGTCTGAAGGTGGGCCGGGGTGGGGAGCTGGGAAATGTACGTGAGAGCAGGAGTGAGTGGGATGAGGTGGGGTGGTGAGCTTCTAGGGGGCCGCTGGCGACCACTGGGGGCTGGAGCCTGTCTTCTTCCTGGATTCTGTGGCCCATCCCTTGCTGGGGGCTCATGAGCCCTGGGAGTGGGCTGGCATGGACTGCTTCCTTGTTCCCCCTTCCCAATGCCTGGGGGTCAAGGAGCCCAGACTGGGGGAGGCGCATGCCTGTGTAGCAGCAGCGGCTAGTGGGCAGCACCGGTGTCAGGGCTGGTGGAGGTGGCCGGGCAGCGTCCCAGGGAGAGGCCAAGGTGAGGGAGTGAGTCCCAGGGAGCCGGGAGGCACCGGAGAGGCGGGGGAAAGAGGGCAAAAGTGCAGGGGGGCCAAGGTAGCCCTGAGAACCCACTCCTCCACCCAGGCCTCCCATCAGCCCCTGCCCGGAGCAGCGGTGTGCTGCTGGCTCAGATGCCATCTGTGCCCTAGGTTGAGAGGGAGGGTCTGTTGGAACAGATAGGGGTGGGGTGCCTAAACCCAGGACCCTGCATGGCCCCCAGGCCTGACTCAGCTACAGAGCTGGGGGGTCCCATCAGGACAAGGGAGGGGCAGGAAGAGAGTTGTGGCTGTGACATCGTCACAAGACTGGCCTCCTGCCCGCTGCCAGCTGAGTCCAGACTGTCATTCCACCCTGGTGGGGCTGGTGGCTCACCCACTGGCCTGGCTGGAGGTCCCAACCCGGACCAGGCCAGTCCAGGACGAGAGCGCCTCCCAGTGGTAAGCAAGCCCTGGGGCGTGGTGGCAGGTGGCCCAGGGCAGGGAGACCCGGGACACGTGGCTCTGGGTCTGAATGGCTTCCGTCAGGGCAGGCCTGGGTCACCTGCCAGGGAGGGACTCTGAAGCCTAATGGGGCAAGGTCTTCCCATAGCCAAAGGGGTTCCCAGGGATCTCGGGTGTCCAGCCCTCAAACCCGGTGCCTAGAACAAGGACCAAGCCCCTCCTCTTCCTCATTTTCTAGTGGGCAGCAGAAGGCCCGGCAGGTCCCATGTCCCTTCTCCCTGACCAGTCGTTACTGAGACCATGTGGTCATTGGCGCCTGGGGAGCTGGAAGAGCTGACAAACTCATGCTTCGGTTCAGGAACCGACTCCTCAGTCCCTGTGGTCAAGATGGCCAGCGGGAGGTCAGGGACACTCCCCAGACACGGTTGAGTGAGGACCAGTGAGTGGAAGCCGCCCACGAGCCCTGATTCATGGGCGCACCTGGGCTCACCCGAGGGCCGGAGATTCGTCTCTCACCACATCCAGGAAGGGCAGGGCAGTTGCCAGCTCCTGGTGAACACACGCCGGGTTTCTCCCTCCTCCCCCCACTAGGATTGTGCGAGGTGGACAGGGGCAGAAGGGGCCTTCACGGAGCTTCTTGCAGCTTGGGCAGGGACAAGGACCCCCCCGCTGCACACTCTCTGTGTCCTTCCCTTTGCTCTGAGCTTGGCTGCCAGGCAGGACCTTGGTGGAGCCTGGGGGAGGGTTGGGCAGGAAGGAGGCTGGCCGCCCCACCCCGCTGCTCTGGGAACCAGTTGCTTTGAGTCACAGAATGCAGGGACTTGGCCTCCACCCTAAGAGGTCACGGAGGCCATCCCCCTGCCTGCGGCCCAGGCAGGTCAGAGACAAGACTGGTGGCCTGGGCCTGGGCTCCCAGAACTGACCCCAACCTTCTCCTGGAGGGAAGCTATGTCTGCCCTGGGGCCCTGGCCAGCATCCTCTGGGGGCAGTGGTGCCCCTATCCAGCGTCCCCACCAATGGTTTGCCCTCGAGGACCGAGGCTGACCCAGTGACTGGTGGGACCTGAGCTCGACTGGGTGTCCACCAGCCTCGAATAAACTCATGGGAACCTCGTGAGCCCCACCCACCTGTGGCCGGGGATCAGCTCCCCCAGCCTGGGATTGGGGAAGGGCAGCCTCTACACTCCACCTCTCAGAGGTACCCAAGCCTCCCGGCCCCAGAGGCTCACTCCTGCCAGAGCTGCCCTACTAAGGATCTTCTGTAGGGGAGGGCAGTGCCCAGGGTCACTGAGACTCTGTGTGGAGTGTTCTGAACAAGTCGGGCAGAAGATCCAGGCCCAGCCCTGACTGGGGGTAGGCATGGAGGTGGGGAGCAGCCTCTGGAACCGGGTCTCCACTTGTGCCCTGCAGGAGCCAGCCTCTTGTGCTGAATGGTCCTTCTGGCTTCTGGTCTCTGTGGGGAGCGGTGCCCAGCCTGGTGCATTGTAGCCGGGGAGACCAGGGCTGGGTGCAGTGGGGGCAGCCCAGCTCAGAGCTCCTCTAGGGGCAAGAAATTCTCCCCCAGGCCTCCCTGTGTCAAGGGAGCTGCTCTGTGACTGAAGGAGGCCTGAGTGGACGGGCCACGTGGGACCGCCCCTCCTCAGGGCATCTCTGAGCTGCTCAAAGCATGGGGACCACTCTTCACCCAGCCCGCCTCTGTGTTCTTGGCTGTTAGGGTGTTTACTGACATTGGGAACGGCCACCTCTTCACTCACCCTTTCTGGCTGCCTCTGGCCGCCTCTCCCAGCACCACCCTGGAGGTCAGGCTTCCCCAGCAGCCGGGGATGGGGCAGAGGACAGGGGAGTCGGGGACAAGCCAGAGGACAGGGGAGCAGGTGTGTTCCTGGGACTTGAGACTCATATGTGCGTTGCTGGCCATGAGGTCCAAAGACAGTTATGGCCAAGCTGCAGCCAATTTTGCTACTTTGGAGCCAGGGCTAGGTTGGCTGTCTCTGGGGGACAAAGGGCAATTTGGGGGTGCTGCAGCGATCTGTCCAATGTGGGGCTCCAGCAGGCTTGGCAGAGGCTGCTGCATCCCAAAGGCAGCAGGGCCGTGAGGAGGGGATGGCCTAACCCCCGACACCACACCCACACCCCCAGCCTCAAGACACTCAGCTCCAGGATCCCGGTGCTGTGAGCGGTGCTGTGGACCTCTGAGGCCCAGTCTGACTTCAGGAGCGCCCAGCTAGGTCATGGAAGGTCAGGGCTAAAGTGTCCCCACCTCGCCCATTTAGGGGCTGGGCGGGAGCTCCCCAGGCCAGCGGGGTCTGGGCAGGGGCCAAGCCTGGGAGGGCCTCGCCTAAGGACCCCTGGGTCACTGTAGCACCAGGCTGGGCACCGCTCCCCACAGAGACCAGAAGCCAGAAGGACCATTCAGCACAAGGGGCTGGCTCCTGCAGGGCACAAGTGGAGACCCGGTTCCAGAGGCTGCTCCCCACCTCCATGACTACCCCCAGTCAGGGCTGGGCCTGGATCTTCAGGGTCTCCTAGCTCCCATCTGGGGAACGTGGGGTGGCCACAGGGAGCCTGGGCCCCCACCCCTGAGATAGAGGCTCCTGCCTCTCACTCTGGGGTTCCTTCGAGGCAACCCAGGAGGACGGAGCCACAGCTCTGAGAAGAGCGAGCGATGAGGGAAGTGCTCCTAGCAGGGGCAGGGGGTGCCAGGTGCTGTGGAGCTTGGCAGGGCCCCTCAGTCACAGGCCTCCATGGCCTCTGGTCACCCCATGGTCCCAGCCCCCCCAGCCTAGGGCAGTTGCTGCTGGGCACCATGGAGGGTGGCCTGTGTTTGAGGATGAATCTGGCTCTGTTCACCTGAGAGTGTGGGACAGGCCAGGAGAGCACCCAGCTGGGAGGGAGGCAGCCGCTGGGATCCACGAGGCCCTCCTTCCTCCCGGCCCTGGCACCCGCTCTGCCCCTCTCTCCCCCGCAGGTCTCTTCGTCTCCATTCTCTCACTGCAGCCCCTCCGCGATTCTCTGCCTGGGCCTGCCACTCTCTGTCCTGAGGACAGTGGAGCCTGGCCCGGCCCTTGGCGACCCCACCCTCACCGCCAGTCCCAGCCTTGCTGGTGCCCCCTCCCCGTGGGAGGCTCAACCACACCTGCCCCTACCACCCCATCAGAAATAAACAGTCTGTGCCAGGAGGAGCCGGATCCAACTGTCCTTGAGCACGGGGTGACTGTGGGTGGGCAGGGCCGCCAGGAGCAGCCCAGGTTCCAAGCCCAGTCTGGGGCAGGAAGGGAATGTGGTCAAGGCTGATGCCCAGGATCTGGTCAAATTTGATAAATTTCTCCCTCAGGTCGAAATCCAGCTCCTTCCCCTATGCCAAGAAGAGGGGTGAGCCCTGGGGAGAACCCTCCCTCCCCAGCCCAGCCCTCAGGGAGTCCTGGGCGGCCCCTTCCCACCGTGCTCAGGGCCTCACCAAGCAGCTTGGCCTGGGTCCCCTCTCCTGGCGCCTGGTCTCGGCGTAGCCTCCATCTTGTCATTTTCCAGCCCCACCTCTGCAGGGAGCAGGCGAGGGTCAGGATCCTACTGCTGGGGACAGGCTGCTGACCATGGCCCCTCTGGAGCCACACCAAGACCTTCCCTGGAGTGTCCTTTTTAATTTATTTATGTTTTTAGGGTCAGGGGCTTGCTCTGTCACCCAGGCTGGAGTGCAATGGCACGATCACAGCTCAATGCAGCCTCCTGGGCCCAAGCGATCCTTCCTCCTCAGCCTCCCAAGTAGCTGGGACTACAGGCATGCACCGCCACACCCAGCTCATTTTTCTATTTTATTTTTGTAGAGAGACAGGGTCTCACTATGTTGCCCAGGCTGGTCTCGAACTCTTGACCCCAGTTGATCCTCCTGCCTCGGCCTCCCTAAGTGCTGGGATTACAGATGTGGAGTGTCCTTAACTTGGGGGCAGTTCTGGGCCTTTCTTGGGGTGTCAGGCAGGGAAGACTCAGCCTCCTGACCTCTAAGGGGGTTCTGATCCGGCTGCTTCTCAGGGACAGGGGTCCTGGCCCAGCATTCGCAGAGTGGGTCCCTGTGGGAGGAGGAGGTTGTGGTGGGGAGAGGCTGGGGCGAAGGCTTTGGGGAGGGGCAGGTTGGGTGAGCTGGGGGGGGAGGCTTCCTGGCCTCCTGGAGGGTCCTGCTCCCCACTCTTCCTGAGGCTGCTCTTCCTGGCAGCCTGCCTGTCCCCACCCCTGACCATGTCCCTGCCCGTGGCAGTTCTCACTGCATGCGTGGAATTGGGGTGTCCCAGCCACAGTCACTGTGTCCCTTGGCCCTGCACCCTGCCCTGATCTTCCCCTGCCCCTGGGTCTCAGGACAGGCTCCTCCTCCAAACTGCAGGCCCCGGGAGAGGAGCAGGGGCCCTACAGCTGTGCTGAGGGTGTGGGTGAGCTCCCTCAAGGCAGGCGCTGCCTCCTTCTGCCCACGGGGACCGCCCACGGGGTCTGCCCACCTGCCTGTCTGTATGAGGGGTCTCCACCCCCAGCCCTCCATCTCCCCTCCCCGGGCAGTCCCATCACCTGGCAGGGGCTGTTGGCACCAAGCTTCAGCTGAGCAGGCTGGACGTGACCACGGCTGCCACCAACATCCTGAATTGGGACCTGCGCTCCGGCCTGAAGGTGTTGACTGCCAGCCCCAGGACGCACCACTCCCCCAGAACTGCAGGGACTGGCGGTGGGCAGGGCCAGGACCCCCTCCCCAGGCAAGGGTCCCAGGCTGGGCTGGTACCTGTGACTCTGGCAGGAGCCTGGATCTGACAGGGATGGGTGACCCTGGCCAGGGGGTGGGCAGCCTTCCGGAGCCTCAGTTTCTCCACTTGCACAGAGGGCGTGAGCTCTTCCCACCTGGCAGGGTTCTCCAGGGCCGTGGGGGCCATGCGCACTGTGGCAGTCAGGCCCATTGGCCCAGCTGCACCCTCCTTCCTCCTTCCCCATCCTGGCGGCCACTCACCGGCTCCTTCCTGAGGCTGGAGACAGATCCTGTGGAAAGGCACGTTCAGGCCCCTCTGGGGGCCCTTGCTGTGGCTGGAGTGTCCCCAGCAGGGTGAGGCCCACCCACAGGGGTCCCAGGGCTCCCCACGGGGCTGCAGGGGGCAGGACTCCTGGGCTGCAGCAGGCCTGGCACGGGGGGAGGAAGGGGGTAGGGAAGGGGGTGGGTGAGGGTCTGGGCTGGGACCCCCTAGTAATGAGGTCCCCTGCTGGCCCGCACCCCAGGACAAGCAACCTCTTTTTCTCCAAGTGCAGGAAGGGTGCTCCTCTCCCTCCTCAGCAGGGGGGCTAAGGGGAGAGGCGGGGCAGAGGGAGGTTGGGCTGGGGAGGTAGGGGGCCCTCCTTGGACTCGGCCCAGCAAAGGTTGAGGAGCATGCGTTCCACTGGCGCCCACCGTTCCCTGGTCTCAACCTTCGGAGGGTGGAAATGTGGGCTGGGGGTGGGCACCCGCAGAGACCACCAGCTCCCAGGGAGGTCCCAGGCCTCACCTCTGATTCCCAAAGCCCAGGTCCCTGCCCTCGTACGCCTACGTCCATCCTCAGAGCTGTTGCCCTGAAGGCTCCTGGCCAGCCCTGGGTCTGGGTGTGATGGCGGAAGACACCGTGCGAGGGTCCACTGTGTGCCCAGCATGGGTGGCCTCCCTGGAGCCTCCCCGCCTTGTCCTGCCCTGAGGCATCAGCAGGATCAGGCCAAGCTGTTCCCTGACCTGGGACAGGCTGCAGAGGGGAGCGCTGGTGGTGGGTGGGACGGAATGTGTCTGTGCTGAGGCTGCTGGCACCCACCCTGCTCTGCCCACAGGTCTAGTCTGGGCCAGGACCTCCCTGATGCAGCCCCACCCCTGTCCTCCAAGCCTCCTCTCTCACGGGCACAGCAGGTCTTGGCCCCACTCCCCCAGGGCCCCCAGCCCACCTGCCTCCCCTCGACTGCTGCTGTGTGGGGCAGCTGTGGACTTCTTACCACCCTGGTCCTGTAATGAGGCCCCTGGGGATGGCTGACCCTGGGAGGCCACTGCTGACCTAGGCTGGGGCTTCCCCAGAGGACCTTGGCCTTGGCCTTGGCCTGGCCACAGCCCAATTCTCAGGGGTCCCAGGGAACATGTGCGTTTCTGAATTCAGGGCTTGGTGACTCAGACACTTGGCTGTGGGGGTGCATCAACTCTGGGCCCCGTTGGTAGAGGCATGATGGGCAGGTGGGCCAGAGGATGTGGGCACAGGCTGGAGGGTCCAGACACCTCCCTCTGGGCCCAGCAGTCTCCGGGTTCCCCTAAGGCCTTGGGGGGCCCCTGTCCTCTTGCAGGGTCCAAGCAGCTCTTTGGAGCTCAGCCTGGGTTGGGGAGCATCTTGTGGGTCCTTGGTCTCTACCTTACCCCCAGGTAAGGCAGAGTTTTTTTGAGACGGAGTTTCGCTCTTGTTGCCCAGATTCTATCTCAAACATAAATAAATACATTAAAAAAAATGGTTACTTCAGATATATATTTTATAGATAGATAGATAGATAGATAGATAGATAGATAGAGATATAGATATATATGTTTTCGTTTTTTTTTTTTTTGAGGCGGAGTCTCACTCTGTTGCCCAGGCTAGAGTGCAGTGATGCGATCTCAGCTCACTTCAACCTCTGCCTCACGGATTCAAGTGATTCTCCTGCCTGAACCTCCCGAGTAGCTGGGATTACAGGCATGTGCCACATGCCCAGCTGATTTTTGTATTTTTAGTAGAGATGTGGTTTCTCCATGTTGGCCAGGCTGGTCTCGAACTCCTGACCTCAGGTGATCCGCCCTCCTCAGCCTCCCAAAGTGCTGGGATTACAGGCGTGAGCTGCTGCACCCAGCATAGAATGTTTTATATTTACAGAAAAAAAATGTGAAGACAGATGAGGGAGTTCCTGCGTGCCCCTCCCCCAGTTTCCTGCTCGCTGGCGTCCTAATTCGCGTGATCCCTTTGTCACAATCAGTGAGCCAGTGTTGGGACGTCCAGTCAGCTGACGTCCAGGCTTTCTCCAGATTCCCTTAGTTACTGAAGGTCCCTTTCCAGGTCACCACGTGACACTGTGTCTCTCATCCGTGGGCTCCTCCTGAGTGACGTTTCTCAGCCTTTCCTGGTCCTTGATGACCTCAGCGGCCTTGAGGGGTGCTGCTCAGGTGTCTGTGGGGCACCCCTCAGTTGGGCTCTGTCTACTGAGTTTCTCACGCTGAATCCGGTGATGGTCGGGGAGGAAGAGAATGGGGGCGGGGCTTCCACCATGTCACATGGGGGACACCATCAGTGCGACCTTCACTGCCCACGTTGACCTTAGTACCTGGCTGGGGTTCCCTCACCCGAACCCTGCGCCTCTCTGTCTTTTTTTTTTTTTTTTTTTGAGACGGAGTCTTGCTGTGTCGCCCAGGCTGGAGTGCAGCGGTCAGATCTCAGCTCACTGCAAGCTCCGCCTCCCGGGTTTAAGCCATTCTCCTGCCTCAGCCTCCCGAGTAGCTGGGACTACAGGCGCCCGCCACCTCGCCCGGCTAGTTTTTTGTATTTTTTAGTAGAAACGGGGTTTCACCGTGTTAGCCAGGATGGTCTCAATTTCCTGACCTCGTGATCCGCCCGTCTTGGCCTCCCAAAGTCCTGGGATTACAGGCTTGAGCCACCGCGCCCGGCCCGTCTTTTTCTTTTTGAACTGTCCTCTCTGGATGAAGTCCCTGTGTGTGACCCCTACCTCCCCCGGAAGGGGATTTCACACACATTTGCAACTTTACTGCACTGATATTTGTCTCTACTCTCTCACGGGTAGGCACAGCCTTTCACTGACATCCATGTGGACATCAGGTATTTTACGCTTTGGCTCACACCCTAGTGTCACATCCTGTTTCGTGGCTCATATTGGGCCAGCTTCAGTTACTGGCAGCTTTTCCATTGGCTTCTGAGTCCTTCTCTGCAAAACGTTTTTGTTGTTGTTGTTGTTGTTGTTGTTTTTGAGACGGAGTTTCGCTCTTGTCGCCCAGGCTGGAGTGCAGTGGTGTGACCTCAGCTCACCTCAACCTCCACCTTCCGGGTTCAAACGATTCTCCTCCCTGAACCTCCCGAATAGCTGGGACTACAGATGCCCGCCACCACACCTGGCTAATTTTTGTATTTTTTAGTAGAGATGGGTTTCTCCATATAGGTCAGGCTGGTCTCGAACTCCCAACCTCAGGTGATCCGCCCGCCTCAGCCTCCCAAAGTGCTGGGATTACAGGCGTGAATCACCACACCCAAACTCTGTGATATGTTTTGATGCACACACCCACGAAACTATCATTGCGATCAGGGGGCAACTGTGTTGGTCGCCCTAAAGATTCCCTGAGCCCCCCTGGAATCCCTCCCTCCCTCCTCTTTCCGCCACCTCCCCTGCCCCCAGGCCCCTGCTGTGTTTTCCTCGCTGGAGATGAGCCTGCGTTTCTGGGGCTTCGCCTGCATGGAGCCAGTCCGCGTGCACCGTTCTCGCTGCCGGACGCCCTCCGCCCTGCGCGGTTATTTTGGTGCCTGTGCTCCTTCGTTCACTGCTGGGCAGTGTCACATTGTGCAGACACATCACGATTTATTCTCCTTTACCTGTGGGTGGACCTGGGGGTGTTTCTAGTTTGGGGCCATTACAGATAAAGCCGTTGTGGGCACACGCATCGTGCGTGGGTGTGTGCTGTATCTCTTTTGGGTAAATACCCAGGAAGGCAATAACCAGGTCCTATGATGGTGTAGCTTAATTTTTAAAATACTGACGCACTGTTTTCCAGTCCTTTCAAGATAGGCCTTTCTCCTTAGCCGCCTTGGGCAGTCGAGAGCACCCAGGGAGCAACACCAGGGCTGCCTGGTCCACTTGAGGCTGTGGGAGTGGGAGAGGGTCTCACTGAAACCCCCGAGCTTGTGGCAAAGCAGCAGAGGATCCGGCGTGCCTGTGGCTGAGACGGGACGGAAGCTTCTTTCTGTTTCTTGCAAACATCCGGTCATGGAGCCTTCCAGCCCCAGGTGTGCGGCCTGGCCCCTCTCTAGGACGGTTTCCCGGGGGGCGCACACCTGGCTGGCGTCCTGCTGTCTGTGCAGATTCAGCCACCTTGCTAAGCAAAGACAGCCGGGGAAGCAGGCGGCTACAACCTAGGATTCCATGCTGAGCCAGAGCAGGTCCCTCCGTGGGTGTGGCCCGAGTCTCCTTCCTCTGCCGAGCAGGGCGTGGCAGGTAGTGCGGGGACTGCGGAGGACTGGCAGCTTTGATGCCAGGCGGTCAGGCAGGTGCTGAACCCTGGGGCACTGCCACGCCCACCGCTGCCCAAGGCAGCAATTGATGGGTTCACGGACTCCCTGCCCGTCTGAGGTCAGTGCCAGGCCTGCAGGGCCCCTTGTCAGCAAGCTTCTGCCCAGGGTGCCCCACGGTCACAGGAGGCTGAACCCCAGCACTCTCCAGCCTGAGGGGAAGGAGAGAGCAGAAGAGAAACTACCCCAAACCCCAAAACCACCTCCAGGGCCAGGGTGGGCACGGTGCTCTCTGCCAGGCCTGGGGTGGTCCCCCCGGGTGGGTCACAGGACAGTGTGGGTATGAGGTGGGCCCCCTCCCCCAACTCCCAGGCACCTCCGGAGGGGTTCCCTGAGCCTGCGTGCTGCTCCCTGAGCTGACCCCCAGCCCCAGCCCCACAGCCCACCAACCCCGTGCCTCGCCTTGCAGCCGAGCGGTGTAGTCGGTTCTCCCCTCATACAGGGGCTTCCGCTGGCTCCAGAACAAGAACCCCCAGACCCCGGGCCACATCCTCAGCCCGGCCTTAGAGTCCACCCCTCTCCTCCTCCCTGCCCCCAACCAGCCCCATCTCCTGGGCTCATGGCCTTATCCTGGTTTTGGAGGTCAGGGATGCCTCCAGGGCAGGTCTGGGGCCCCGCTGACAGCAAGGGGACGCCTGCCTTGGATGCAGAAGGCCCACCGGCTTCACCATCCACTGTGGGGTTCTCTCATCCCACAAGGACTCAGACCCTGTGGGAACGGTGCTCTGTGCAGGCCTCTGGCCCCACTGGCGTGTGGACTGCCTCCTCTTCCTCTGTCTGACATCTGTCTGCCAGACTGGGCCGTCCTCATGCTGGCATCTGCTGCGTCTCCGGCCCTGAGCACTCCCAGGCCCTGGGCTCTGTGCCCTGAGTCAGGCAGGGATGGGGCAAGATGCTCATCGGCACCCTCCCAGCCAACTCGGGGTCCGGCCTGAGGATCCCTACAACCCTGAATCCCCTCCCAGGGCAGAGTCCCCGTGGGGACAGGGCCAGGGACTCGCTCTGATCACCACTGAAGTGCACAATTGCTGGCTGGGCGGAAAAAAACCCAATCCCAGTTAATCCACACAAACGTAAGAAATAAGACAATTTCCTGCAAAACAAAATAGCTTTCTACCAGCATTCCTGTCCAACAGAGCCCACATCCATAGCTTTCTACCAGCATTCCTGTTCAACAGAGCCCACATCCACACCCCTGGGGAGATGTTTCAGAAGAAACAAGGGAGACTGTGTCACGGAGCGAAGGCCCTGTGTGCATGCGTGTGTGCGTGCACGTATGTGCCTGTGCGTGCCTGTGCATGTGTGCCTGTGTGCATGTGTGTACCTGTGCACGTGTGTGCGTGCATGGGTGTGCCTGTGTGTGTGTGCATGCCTGTGCATGTGTGTACATGTGTGCCTGTGTGCATGTGTGTACCTGTGCACGTGTGTGCGTGCATGGGTGTGCCTGTGTGTGTGTGCATGCCTGTGCATGTGTGTACATGTGTGCCTGTGTGCATGCGTGTGCCTTTGTGTGTGTACACACGTGTGCCTGT